AGTTCATCCCAGTGTTCTTCAAGAAGTTGGAACCAGCCTGCTGGATACCATATCGAGGAGGCGACCATTTTTGAACTCAGACCACTTTTTAGTGCAAGGAACCATCATGGTCAAGTTGAAAGCCTTCAGAGAAGCTGGAGACAGACCAGTTCAAGTCCAACACTCGGAACCTGTAGGGCGAAACTACACAGAACACCTTCCCTGCAACTACCAGGGAAAAGTTGAAGATATTAAGTAGCATCACTCAAGAGACTACCAAGAACGAACACTACAACTCCCTGAAAGCTATGTTGGAGGAAACCCGTATAGCCTTATCACGGAGAGAGAAGAGACAAGACAAGGAATGGTTCTTTATGGACATGTGGAGGCCAGCAGCGGAAAACGGTCGGTGAAACAAAAGGTGGAGCAAAGTAAAGATGAGCAATGACAGAAGAAGCTGAGCACTCAATGAAGAAGTGCAATAGAATGTTAGCAAGAAGAAAGACAATTGTACAACTCACTGGAGACTGAAGCAGAACTTCGTTCCGTTTCCTGCTGATAGTTATAGTCAACCACTGACCGGCGAATATTTGAGTAAGTGCTATGCCGCCACTTGATTAAAAGCTGTTTCCGGAAGAGGAGAACGTCCTGGAAACCGCTAAACGGCATGAAATACAATTATGGATAATACATCAGTGGAAGTACATTTACAAGATATGTACAAGAAGAAGGTAGAGACTCTGCAGTGTGCCTTGAATATTTGAATTCTTTAACATATTCACCCACCTCTGGCGCCACGCCATCTTGTGGGTGATAGTAGACATGGGAATGATAGTAGATACTTGCAATATTTGATGCTAACCATATTGGTTTAGGCATGGAAACTATGACGTTTTCGATGAAAATATAACTCTGCTCAAACATTGGTGCTGTTGTATTTTTCGTCATAGCGACCAGACTTTAAGCAAGCAACAAATATGCACAAAGAGCAAGTTTTAGTTTTATTAAAGGTCCAGGTGGTTAAGATCAAACACAGCATAATAGTGTGTAAATAAAAATAGATCATAAAAGACAGATTCAGCGAAGAAAATTCTATTTATCGACGAAATCATCTTCAGAGGCTGTACAATCGTATTTATACTTACAAAAATATATAGTGGTCTATTATTAAGTAATAGGGGGTGAAATAATTGATATAATTACTCAGAAGTGGCTTTAGAAGTGAAAATTAGAAGTTGTAAATTACGTGGTACTCAACGGAACAAAGATAGAAATTTGATAAGGTTAAAATTGCTATTGTGTGGGAATAAAGTTGGAAGTTGAGTGTCAGTTTAACAAGTGTGAAGAGGGTGTGAAAATATACAAAAGGAGCATATGAGAGTGATAATAGTGAATTAATTATTAAAGCGAAAGCAAACTTAAAGTAAGATTAAAAATTACAAAATGGAAAAGAAAAAAGTCAAAATGTTTTTAACCGGGAACGATTAGTGAGAAGGTAGAATAAGAGACTGCACAAACTTTTTCTGTATACAGAGTTCAGGGTTGTACTGATGAATTGCCAGCGCCTCCGCCATACACGAAAGCCGAAACCTGATGCCCTTTGTACCATTTGGCTTCACATCCGTTGATCATTTGTCGGCTGTAGAAATTGATACGTAGCTCAGCTATAAAGAAGGCTTTCCTCAGTCATCTGCATACGCGATTCTTTAGGACCTCAGCTGCGGTATCACCTTTGAATTCAACACTCATAAATAGCAGTGTCTTCGGCACTGTCTGAATTTTTTCAGGCTTTTCCCTTAACTTCATGTTTTTCTCGATAAATCTTGGAGGATATCCATTCCCTATGAGGACTTGTCTGGGTCGCCCCAGCTCAGATTATCGTGGGGTAGATAAGTGATATCTCAGAGAGAAGTGAATTCTAAGATGCTCACATCCCTTATTAATTTGTTGTTTGTTAACGATCTAGAATAATATTTGAGGTTTCGGGGTGTCATCAAATGCTCGTCGCTGTCCTGCAGATTGGAGCGATTCACTTTTGTGACCACTACTATATCTGCTGATAAGCGTGCACCACTCTCCCATTTTTGATTTTAAGCTCTGAGATATTTTTGGCAATAAATGCAGTTACGGCACTGCATTGCTTTGAGCTCGTCCCAATCATACAGTAAGCTGCACATCAACAGCCTTCATGAGAAGCGCTTCCCATTAGGTTACCAGATACATCGATACCTGAGGAAATCGGTATCACCTTTATTCATGCATAAATGTATATAAGTGTTTTTTACAAACGACTAGGAAATTGAGTTTCCCTGAAAAATTTATAAAGTATGGAAGCAGTTAGTGTCACAGCAACTAAGTTACAGTCTGTTTAGCAGAGTTTAATGGGTAGTGAGACAATCTGTGATAACGTGATCGTGAGGAAAACAGCTGGTTAACAGACCTAGGTATGCTAAATTTTCATGGCTAATTTTCCTATAGTATGCGTCAGACATTGCAAAGTAACCCTCGTTTTAAAAATATTGCGAAGTGTTATAAAATTATACATTTTAGAAAAATATATTAGAAAAGGCGGTTATTGTTTGAGTGTACGCATTTCGACACAAAAATAGCCGTGTATTATCAATTATATATACATAAAATAATAACAGGTACGGTTGCTTGTATAACTGTTTCTAGAAATATTACGCTAACGCAACTTACTGAAGATTAAGGAGAATAGAAAATCTCGATAAAGAAAGGAAGACGAAATTTGCAGTATAAAATGATATCATTCTATTTCACAGGTTCTCATCAGCTGCAGACTACCTGAAATTACAATGGTTATATAAATGATAATAACATACTTTAATGTTTGATTAGTAGTAGAGAAGAGATAAAATTGACGCATCCAAAAAAGAAAGAAAGCATTACAATTTTAGTTTAAGTTATCATCATCAATTTATACACTTTCAGAGTTGAAAAGAGGGGGGAGGGGTAAGACAGAAAACAGAAAAATTGATTAACAGAAACAGTGTTAGCTTGTAGGTTCACATGGCAACTCCAAAAAACAAAAGCTAAAGTATGTTATTATCATTTATATAACCATTGTAATTTCAGGTAGTCTGCAGCTGATGAGAACCTGTGAAATAGAATGATATCATTTTATACTGCAAATTTCGTCTTCCTTTCTTTATCGAAATTTATCAAGGGAACCAGTTGAATAGAAAATCAGTGAATTAGTTAAACGTTCGCTGTGTAAGTAGTAGAGTCGAGTTATAGGTAAGTGACTACACTGAAGACTGGACTGGCTTTCATTTACCATTCTATTAACGGTTTTGGTCTTTGTGACGAGCTAGGGTGGACATGTTAATGTGTCTTTCCACGCTCCATTTGAACCCATCGGGTTTTTCACAACATCTAATTTCAGATGGCAGTTGGTTCCAGAGAGCGCGATATTTTATGCATTTTCTATGGGTAGCCACCTTGACAAGGTAGTTGTGGTTTCGCAGCCCATATGATCTATTATTCGCCCACGTTATGGATGAGCCACTGTATCAATGTTTCCTAATGACTTTGATGAGTAGAAACAAGTTGCATTTATCTATTGAATGGTGAATGTCCACCAGTAAGTTTAATTAGGTTTCCTGCTTCATTTTCCACTGCTGTGCTATCAGAAGTAGACATTTAAAATCCAGGTTAGTTTTCTTCGTAGGTTAATGGGGTGCTTATTTTGACAGAAAAGTCAGTTTCTGAAAGATAACCAAGGAATCTCAACATACTGGATAGAAAACTATTAACAGACTATGGTTTGCCTGATCTCCGAAAAAAAGTTGTAATGCGATGTGATTGAAAAGTCACTACCGTACAAAACTGGCTGGCAGTTCAAGAATTCAATTCGAGGTAAATTCCATTCAACATCTGCCTACGAAAACACCAACTTAGCAGTGGAGACAGTTATGTATTTATATAACTTTTCGGAAAGATTTACTATCTTCAGTCTGCCTCATAAACCTTATGTAGGTATACGAATGACTAAAGTCCGAGAATTTTTAGTCTGCCTTATTCAAAGTGTCTCAGAAGGTAAGAAAATGAGTATGTTTTTCAAGTCCCATTTGACTTCAGGTAAGTATTCTCTAACTTCAAAAGACTTAGAGAATTGAAAATTCTTACTACATAGTGAGAGCGTCACTTGTAATGGCTGACAGATCCGTAGACATTTAGGGGAAAATGACGTTTTCTTGGTAACTGCAGTAGAATGCCTTGTGTTATTCAGTGGAATATACCACAAACACTTTCGGAACTATCACCTTTAAAAGCTTAAGGTAAGTACAAGAGGTGAAAACAACAGGTCATATTTTTTGATGTCTAGTGTTCACTTGTATCACTCACAGAACGTTAACGACAACAATTTAAGCAACTGAGCGATGAAGTGCTTCGGTTGGTATACAAAATTACGTTATAATTTCAAATATTATAATGCTTTGGTTTCAAAATACAGTTCTTATATGCCAGTACAATTTTAGGGCTATTTGCAGAGGCGTTTTGCAAAGCAAACATTCAACGGAGTGCCTCATTCTACATTCTTTATGACACGAAAGATTTAGGAATTTCTCGCAGCCTAATCCTTCGGATCAAACGCTTCATCGTGGGAGACAGAGATTATGGGTAGGCTACAAACTACCTTGCTGGACGATAGTTCACATAGATGTGTCACAAGATTTCGGATTATTTTAATTATTATATCATATTATTATCATATTATTGTAAAATACTGCTTCTGAGGTGAGCACAAAGAAATCAAATTGGTTTATACTAGCTCGTAAAAACGATATTGGATAATATGTCAATAACTGTTGGAACTGGCAGAAGTACTCTCTGAGTCTATTTAGATGAAGAAAGACAGACAGTTGAAGTTATTTATTGAGTAGGAATTAAAAGTGACTCTTCTGTCCTCAACCAAGTATCTCAACACGACTTACAATACTATTCATTGGACATCCAGCTGAACCGCCAAATTTGTCGGTAGTGCTACGTATACGGTGATGTTCAGTAATCTTAAAGGACTTGTAAAGAAAGAGGGCACACATAAAGTAAGCAGTACTGTTTGTCGGTTTTCTTAAAGCTAATGGAAAAAATACCTTTTTTCAAATTACTCATTCAAGTTAGGTCTTTTGATCAGGGGATTTGTGCTTATTCAACCTATGTTTTCTGCCGCAAGACTTTTAGTTACTGCATTTTTGAATTTTTAAAGAGTCTAATATAGATTAGACGAAGTTTTACTTACGCTCTTTGAATGTTTTGGAAAAGTAGGTAGCTTTGAACCCCCTTCTGTTATCATGTTTTTAAGTACTATTGTAGTAAAAAAGCTTGTTCATCACAAAAGTAGTCTGTATCTGCATATTTTTTGTTACTAGATGGTTGGAGGCAATCGGTGGCAAGCATTGGACCTAAGCTTCGTGCTAATTAGCACTCACCAGTAGGTCAGGAAGGCGTATCTGTAGTCTTGAAGAAAAATGTCCCCTCTGAGGTTTTAACCCGCGTCCTCTGATGCTGCAGTCAGAGATGTTACCACTTAGCTTTTCGGGCTCGCCATTGAATTCCTGTGGGACTGTATTATATGCTTTCACTGGACACTAGTTAGTAACTAGTAAAATGTGTCCAGTCCTTTGTGTGGTGTTGACTGATGAGTGCCAAATTGCAGGAAACCTAGGTGACACAAATATAAATACTAATGGTAATACCTCTATTTCACCTGATTTCACCCAAATTCAATACAGTCGGCATAATGAGCTTAACAGTATGGTTTTTGTGTGTGTGACGACTTATATCATAACCGATTTTCGAAGAAATTCTTAGGCGTCGTGCGATCCTCGTTAGGTGAATAATTAATTTATTTGTATGCATTTCAAACTGCACTGGAGTTAACTTCAATTCATTACATTAACACTCAGTTACATATCTGAAATGCTAATAATATGTCTTCATTTATTCGTTGTCTATCCAAATAACTAATTACGGTTTACACTCCTGAAGTGTCCTCGTCAAGCTTAACTAGAAATATTATCCTTTTTGATTGGACACTAGTCAGTAACCCGTGTAGAGTGTCTAGTAATTTGTTTGGTGCACACTGAATTCTACCAAACAAGTTTGCAATGTGACCACCATGTTAAGTGACTTGCCATCACGCTGTACTTTGAACTGCTGATATTAGATGGTTGGAAGCAATCGGCAGGAAGCATTGCTTGACCTAGGTTTCGTGCTAGTTGGTACTCGTCAGCAAGGTATATCTGCAGTTTTGAAGGAACTCATGTCCCATCTGAGATTTGAACCCATGTCACCCAGTGCTGCAGTCAGAGACGTTACCACTGAGCTATTAGAGCTGGCCCGCGATTGACCTCGTGTAGGACTGTTTGGTGCAGATAGAGGACTAGATACATAACATTAGTTACTAGTGCCCAATGGAAACATACATTTGTATTAGCTATAGTATGGAGAATTATTTGTTAATTTCTTAAACGATAAGGAGGAGGGGATAATTAGTTAATTTATAAAAGCTGCTTTATAAGATGAATAATTATACTGGGTTACTATCTACTGGTTTATCATAACTCCTTGGATTAGTAGCTTATATCAGAAAAGGCCTGAAACCTTATCAAGCAGTTCATAATCAGTAGTAGTCATGTATTTTATTTAGAATATAGGATTCAAATAATTTAAATTTACCGATTGTATTTCATGTAACTATCTCTGTGCTGCCTAGCTTTGCTTTTCCGAAGTTTCACCTTAAACTGGTTCACACCGATGAAAAGTCTTGCATTTATCTGTCAGTCATTCAGTTTTCAATCATCCTGTTGTTCTCAGAGAGTTGTTTCCCTTCATATATTCGTCATGTTGTTATATTAATTTGTATGGCAGAACTCTGATTGCATTTTTGCCTAAAGTGTGTGCTAAAGAACTCTGCAATATCTTTTACATTTAGGCCGCTCGGTCAGAATGTGGAAGCGTCGATGGAAGAGTTTCTTATTCGCGGTTTTTGGTGAGTTTTATGTATCATTAGAAAGCTTGATTTCATTCTAAAACTAATAGTATTAGGTATGAAATATAAGGAGAACAATAGTCACATTTTTCTTACTGATATAAGAAAAAAAATCAGCGAAGCTTTTTAGGAGTTATGTCACATTATAGGCTAAATATTTTCCGTCTTTCCTACCCACTATTAGTGAGTAGTATGACAGCCACCGATATGATATTTGTTGTACGTGTCCGAGGCACCACAGCCGATGTTCCAAGATGATGACACTTAATGAGCTTCCGATCATCCCATCCGATGTCAGTAAAAGTAGGATTGGTGAAATGTTTAAATAATAGAGCACAAAAACTAAGTAGTACCAAGGAAGATCTAAGACAGGAAGTGAGGCATGTATGAGAAGCTTTGAAACTTAATAATTAACCTGATAAATTAGTCAGGAAATATATAGGGAAATGTAAAAATAAAGTAAATAATGATAGTAGTGATAGTGATAGTAATAATAATAATAATAATAATATAATATTAATGACGACATGCATGTCAAATATGCACAAGACAACACCAACAATAATGAATATAAATCATCAGTAGTAATTCCATACAAGGAAGGAACCTCGGAAACCTTACACAGAATTCTTAACAATGCAGGCAGGAATAAAAGTGACTGGTATTCAAACCACGCACAAACTCGATTAGAAACAAGCTTTGTCGGTTAAAGGATCAGTCCTGTAGAGCCTTTAAAACAAAACAATTTAGTTTATCTAATACCCTGCCTGCGATGATTGTCAGGTGAGATACTTAGGTCAAAGTAATAGAACAGGGGCAGTCAGACTAACCGAGCAGCATAAAAACCTAGCAAAATCTAGATTGGTTGACCCAAATAAGATAAGAAATCTAGAGAATAGTTCAGCTATAGCACTACATGCAGTTACACACAACCATACAATAGAATGGGTGGGATAAGATGACAGTTTCAAAATCTAATGCAACAGCTGGGTGCAGGGAGAGATTGATAAAAACAATGGAAGCTTATTGGAAGTTTATCGAATCAAATCAACTGGAAATACGTGTAATAGGAATGATTCAACACCTGTCCAGTTGGACATCTGGGACATTCTACTACCCCAACGATGATGAATAGGATAAAACAAAGAAAACTATAAAACTCAAGTTTCGAAGTTGTGTGATTATAATTGATGATATGATTATGAACAACAATAAATTTTGTTCGAAACCTTGTCATCCAGTATGCAATAATACTGTTTCACAGACTGTGTGATACATCTAATAAACAAACTAATATGGAATTACAGATTGCATTTTCAATGGCTGTCTTAAGTGTTATACAAGTATTAGGAATTTTGAGCAATTCTGTTTTGTTTTAGTTTTTTCTTAGTAGTTTTTTTTTTACAGAAAACTTATTGATATGAGTGTGATGTCTGTTGTATGCTTGTGTGTGTGTGTTTGTATGTATGCGTGTTTGTGTTTGCGCACATTGCATGTTTTTAGTTTTGCTTCAGGAATAAAATTTCAAAAGTAAGGCTGAATATGTTTCACAGTTGACCAATATATCTTGTTCATTTGTTTGAATGTTTCATTATTGTTATTATTATTTGAATTTCTGTTTATAACTGCCACTTTGTCCCCTCTTCTCTATTTGTTCATCGTATTTTTTGTATTCCTGCTGTTGTTGTTGGTGTTACTATACTATACACCTACTTGTTGAATATTCAATACTGGAAAAAAAAATCTAGGGTGAATCAGAGAGAACGGATGCTGATATTGCATTTGAATCACGAACGTCTTCTTGTTCTTCTGTGTCAATGCAACAACAACAACAACAACAACAACTTAAATCAAAACCTTCATTATCAACGATTCACAATTCTCCTGATAATAATAATGATAGCATCAATATTATGCCTTCTTCTTCTTCTGTTGATGCAAAGAAAGAAGATATTTCCGCATTGGGTAAACAAATAAGTCATTCTAGGATATTAAAATCACCTAGTCCATTTGGAATTGGCAGCGGTGGCGGCGGCGGCGGCGGTGCGGAGGATTCTGATTGTGGTTCAGTTATTTCATCAACTTTTCGATTATCTACTACTGCTACTACAGATTCGACAGATATTCAATCACGTTATCAACGTGTTTATCATTTAGCAAGAGAATATAAGATTAAATATCAACAGGTTTGTTGTATGCACATATTTTCCCATTTATTTAGACATTTAAAATATCCAAGAAAGAAAGAAAGAAAAAATAACTTTCTCATCTAGTTACTATAGTGTTACATCTACATAATATTGTTAAAGAGTAATCGGTTTTTTTTTTCTGTTTGACAACACTGATGTTTTTTAAAGGTGTTTGATCACAAGTTTTGTATCAGGTAGAGAACCATTAGAAAATCTAGGAGTACTGAATAGGTGTTTCGTCCCAGTGCGGGACTCCTCATCAGCACGTGTTTGCTGGTGGGGTGAGAACCTAGGACCTTCTGGTTACACAAGGTGAGCTGATAGATTATTCAACCACTAGAAGATGACCCAGTGGTCAGTCCATCAATCCCAACTTATGCCAATTCGTTATATATATATATATATATATATCATCAATAATAATATATATATATATATATACAAAGTGCAACCTCCAGCGAGTAACTGATCTCTTACCAGACTTGGTTGACCTCAGTGGTTGTGACTTCTCACTAGAAAGAACTTCAGGTAACTTCCTGTATAGAGCCAATCACTAGGCATGTTTTTGTTTAAACGATATCACTGGTGTTAACATCCAAGAGACAGTAGTTTTAAGAACCCAGGCTTCTTCGGAACTGTTAGCATATTTTTATGCATATATAAATGTAGGAGGTAGATGAGGGAATTATCCAAAAGAATACTTACTACTTTACTTTACTTCGGCTATCTCCTACGGGAGAATGAGCCGGCTTCATGAACATCTCGAATCATCGCTGCCCAGGCGCGGCGATCTGGTGCAAGGTTTTGCGACAGGGTTATCCAATTCTTGTTCCACAGACGGAGTCCGTAGACGGTTTGTAGCCCCAAGAGTTCATAAAGTTTTATGGGAATTTGGTACGAGTGATGTCCCCAGAATCGCTCGGCCTTTTGTTTGAGAGTGCAGCTCTAGCCTTTACACAACCAAGTGTGACCTACAAGGCAGTAGGAGTGGAGTGGGGAGTCCACTATCCATTGGAAGCCGGTGACCGGAGTTCGGTTAATACGACTTTTTGAATGGGGCCAGACATCCAGGAAATCCAACAAGCCCTTTGTCCATACGTCTGCCGGTGAGCTCCAGTGAGCTTCATATGCCAGTCGTTGGAGGTTTGGAATCAGGGTTTAGCCATCTCCCCTAGACTGTCATCCAATGGACAGTCAACCCGGTGAAGAGCGCCGGGCATCCGCTTTCGCCCTCTCACTTTGGTGAAAAACACCTCCGCCACGTGAAGGCCAGTGAGTAGGACTTCCTCAGGAGAAGCTGTGTAAGACGCCCGGTCATATGGGAGCATTTCAAGAGGTGTGCGGAGGGGTGGCCAACCCGCAGCGCAAGGCACCCACCCCCGACCATCCTGAGGCTTTGGAGACCTTTATTCAATCTTTCTTGTTTTGGTTATTTAAAGTAAATTATTTGGAGAATTAATTATCTTATATGAGAGTATTGATATATTGATATATACAATTAACCTGAAAGCTTTCAATACAAGTCTTATAATGACATTGTTTTTAATTCGCACCAGCCATTGAGAAAGATGATTTTCAACCATATCACCAAGTGTGTTCATCCGCCATTGGTTTTTACCATCCCGGGGACCGCAATCAGTCAGTAAGGCAATCTACACCTCCCGACGTGGTTCGCTGATTGCCCGCTTAAACTAAATGTTGTGGATTTCACTGACTAATGAGAGCATGTTTTGGTTTGACCATCACTAGCTAGCTCTTTCCCTACCTGATATATCCTCTGTCAATTAGCTAACATTGCCCATCGAGGAAGGCGATCGGTGGATGGCTAGGCATGCATGCACCACACATGTCCTAACCATCTCACTCAGTCGATGCAGCTGCTTCGCAACCTTGTTGATTGATATCCCCTCCTTAGCAAGCACTCGGTTGAAGCCTAACCTCAATATTGCTCATCCTATAACACTGACCATGTAACACGGGAGATAGATTGCAGACACCTATGATCAAACATAGCTAGCCAACCAGGCTTTTCATGTCTTCCACTTCCAATGACCCTGTCTCACTCACAAACATAAAGGAGAACAGAGCGAAGTGCTACTAAGCAGTATACACCCATTTGGTCGATAGCCGGATTTCACGTCTACGCCAAAGCTTGTATGAAGGTTTAGAAGTAATTGGAGACGTGTTTTGATGGTTATTACTTCCCGGCTAGCCACACCATAGAATTAGATTAATTTTTCAGCTACTTGAAACAGAAGGAACATTAGTATGTTATGTGATCGCATAGTCTAGGGGAAAACTATTTCAGACCGGTCACATACACATGACCTGTTTTTGAATTGACTTTTAGAGTTAAGTCCAGATTAAGATCTGACAGCCGTGACGGTATTTAGGATGTGTAATTTTTAGAGTCGATCTCATCAATAATCTGGCAAGTTGCTGGAATCACTGGGCAACCTAGATTTCCATCCGGTGTAATGTATAAACTCTTCTCCATTTCTTATTTTTTCCATCATCTAACTGTGTTTCTTGATCACTACATGAACTCACACACACACACACTCACGAGGGGTAAATGTTTGGCAGTTTAAATACGCTGAAAATTCTGTACCATGTACTAACTTATGATCTAGAATAAAGCTGTCATCTTACAAAGCATAGAATGAATGGTAGTCAAACCTCTACCTTAACTTCATCGACTTCGGAAAGGCAACAGCTTCGACAGACGCCGTTGACCGAGAAGTAATTTGGAAACTGCTTCAACACTATGGCGTACGGTGTCCAAGTCTTTACCAACCTCATTCAACAGCTAGCTATATGACAATGCCGCGCGTCAGGTGGTGATCCACAACGGAATACTCAGCAAGGCGTTCGAAGTGAATACATGAGTGAGACAAGTCTGGCTGCCTATTATCACCTACGATGATATTCTTAATTGTGATGGACTGGATTATGCGTCAGACTGTACGCTGCACTGACCGATAAGAAGACTCTAGATAATCGGATTTCGGGCGTGGATGATTTATGTTTAATGTGACACACACAAACTTGAAGACTTGCAGGTAAAAGCCAACAAACTAGCTAGAGAGGCAGGCAGTAAACACAGGACTCTGGGTGAACATAGACAGTGTGGAGACAGAGGTGATGAAGACAACCAACCAACCAAACAAACAGACAACAGCAAAAACAACCAATCACCATCACTGGGAGAGATTTAACAGAGGTTACCTCCTTCACTTATCCGGTTAAGAAGCACGGTTTCAATCACAGGCATACAGCATGGATGAAGATGTGAAAGTTGGCCAGATTCGGAAAGGCAAGATACACCTTCATCAACCTGAAACCAATTTGAAAATCTTCTACACTGCACTCAGTCAGCATAAAGAAAAAGATTCGGATTTCCAACAAAAATGTGAAGTAGTCAGTCAGTCAGTTCTTCTGTACGGGTCAGAAACTTGGCCAGCGTGTCACGAAAAGCATTTCCAATAAATTGCAGAATTTTATAAACAGTTACCTTCGCTAGCTCCATCGTGAAGATGAAATTGCTGGTTGGTCAGAAAGAATTAGCAAGAAGAAACTCCTCAGTGGAACAAACCAACCCAAGTACCTACTATTGTTCAACAAATATGTAGGAGAAAATGGAGATGGATTGATCGGGCATACATTGAGGAGGTCGTCGAATGACATCGCGCTCAATCCAGGCCATCGTTTGAATAGAGTCTTAATGGGGAGCGATGAGTGGGTCGTCGGTGCGAGGGTGACATGAAGGAGATCGTGTGGCGAAGAGAAGGAGATGAGAGATTATGAGCAGTCGTGTGGCTAGCCAGCTGAAGAGGACAGCAGAAAATAGAAGATAGTGGAGATGTGTCGCTGAAGCCGTATATTCCACTGGGAACCCATTGGAATAATAATGATGTTATTATGTAGGCCTCTCCCTCCTTGCACAAATCAGCAAGACAACATAGGTGGTATTGTGGCCATCTGAGGGGACACACCTTACTGCTACCTCATCGCCGCTACTTACCAGTAATAAGACTTTGCTGACAGACTCCCTAATGTTATGTAAATAACTGACGCTGTCCTTTAGCCTAACTGCTATGCAACACAACGTTTCTGGCATTGTAGAACTTGTATAGGAACATTAGTTCCAGCCAATGTAGCCTTTTGGGTCATTGTGGTACACACGCACACACACACACACACACGCATCTAATCACTACAGCAAGGTAGCATGTGTGTCAGTCAGGATATCTTAAATTATCTGTCTAAAGTATGATATTCAATGGTATTTGTTATTTCACATTTTATTCTTATCTTGTGTATACTTCTTCCTTTCATCCCCTTCAGCTTTCTGAAGCATTCAAAGTTATGGAATCAGAAAGAAATAATCTACAACAATTGTTAGCATCACATCAAGCAAAAACATCAAAGTCTGTTGAAGAAGTCTATAAAAAGCTTGAATTAGATAAACAATCTAAAGATGAGTTGGAAAGAGATTTTCGTCAACTGTTAGCTGAAAAAGAAGAAATTATAAAATCATTACGAATGCAGGTAGGTTGTGTATACATGAACTACTTTTTTTAAAATCATATGTGTGCTTGTATGTGTCAGGTCTTTAAGTAACATCACACTGTGTATACCTTTCATGTAGAAAACTAACGGGAACCGAACCGATGAGTTGGGTGTGGAATCAAGCGTGGTCTAGGGAAAGATCATAGGACGAGGAAATGAAGGTTTGTGAGTAGTTGTGGTGCTAATTTAAAGTAGTGACAGAAAACTGTGATTAGATGTCATGGAAGTGTCCCGTTCGGATTGCATGTGCAGCACATGTCCTAGCCATCTCAATCGGCTTAGCTTAATGACCTTATCGATTTGATTGATTTACCCTCCTCACCTAACACTCGACCAAGGCGCCTAACTTGAATATCACTCACCTTATTATATCACCTAAAATGGGGGAGATAAATCGGAACCACCTATGATCAAAGACAGTTAGTCTTTTCCGAGACATGGAAGACATGAATAATTAACAGAGATGATGACAGAAGACATCAGTGTAAGAGGATAGCTGTAGGTGATTGACTGACTGACTGACTGACACACTAGTTTCTACATGGAACTTTGCACAGAAGTGCACCAGTGCAGTTCAATCTGCCACATTCCATGTAACACACAAAGGAAGATAATGGCACGAAAATAAGCAGAGAAATGTAAGAGAGAAAGACAATACGATGTTATCGGATATAAGAGATAATAAAGAGTGAATGCATTTATATGCCATTTATTTTTAGTAACGATTTCGAGGCATATATCTGCAATAGTCTCCAGGCATTTGTTTTTAGAATCCCCAAGAAAGACCTCCCAATCAGGTAGTCTACACTTCTCTATGTGAATGGCTAAAACCAAACTGGTAAAGATTTCATGAACTGATTCCATATTTCTGTTTAACTCACCACCATATCTTTTCCAATCTAGGCTAGGTATGCGTCGTAACACATGTCCTAACCATTATGAATCGATGTAGCTTCATAAACTCATTGATTAATTTTATGTCTTTACCTAGGATGGACGCCTAACCTTAAAACTACTCACACTATTATACAATATAAGGTGGGAGATAGAACTCAGACACCTATGATCAAAGACAGCTAGCCAGCCAGTCAGCCAGCCTTTTGATGTCTTCCACTTTCAATGGCTATGTCTCACTCAGAGGCATAAAGGAGGACGCCCTTTGGTCATCAGGCAGTCGGATATCACGTCTACTTAGTGAGAGATGGCTTGAGATGACTTATGCGAAAGGAGCCTTCTGTATCCGTGTTGAGATTTCGTCAGCAATCAACCCTTTGAGGTTTATGCAACTTTGCAAATAAGTGAAGTGGTCAACGTGCTCTACCACTTCACTTCCTATTTCTAAGCTAGGAGTGGGTCAATGTAGTCCAGTCCTATAGCATCATCATCTTACATTTGGCGGGAGCGAATCGCATGCCAAACATTCGTAGATTGCAACTCAAGGCGTTTAGAAGACTCTGCTCGGTTTTGCCAGCGTCTTCACCTAGAAGGAGTATATCGTCTGCATATTGTATGTCAACGAGATTATTCCCTGGTGGAAAAAAGTCAATCTCTGAGTCTCTGAAGTTGGTTAAGGTTAAGTCCACTAGTACATCTATGATGAAAGCATCGCCAGAGTACCTACAAGTCGACAGAATCGAATGCTGCCTTCAGGTCAATAAATATGATAATTGTTGGACGCCGGTAAGAATGCCTATGTTCCAGAATCTGTCGAAGGGTGAAGATATGATCAATACACCCTCTTCCTGATTTAAAGCCTGCCTGGTTCTCTCCTGTTTGTTCCTCCAGTGGACCGCTTAGTCCATGCATTATAATTGCGCCTAGAACTTCAGATACCATGTTAGTCAAGCTAATTCCCCTGTGATTATCACAAGAAGACTTGTCTCCCTTCTTGTATATCGGGATGATCAGTAACTTACACCAACCCGACGGGACTTCCTCTGATTCCCAGACGCTGCCTAGTACCTCAGTTAACGCAGACAGTAAACTGTCTCCACCGTACATAAATACCTCCGGAGTCATTCCACCAGGTCCTGCTACTTTACCTCGCTTCAGACTAGTGACAGCTTTCGTAACCTCAGTTAGGGACGGAGAACCTGTGTCTATATCCCATTCAGGGAGGTGTTGGCTGTTCGGTAAGTTGAGCGTGGCTGTAGGCCAAATGAATTGCTCCTCAAAGTGTTCTTTCCAACGTTCTAGTCGTCTATCCTAGGAGCTAATTATGGTGCCATTTTTCTCAGAGATTGTTTCACGTATCATTTGCCTTTTGCCACCTGTTTCCCTGATAAGTCTAAGTAGTTGTCTGGTGTTACCAATCGCCGATGCCTTTTCCATCTCTTTCGCTTTTGTCGCCCACCACTGTTCACGGTTGTTACGAAGACTTCTTGTTAGTTTGCGCTTGAGTAGCTTTCGCTCCTCGTCATAATCGGAGCTCGCTGGAATCAGTCTTCTTGCGTCAATCAGTTCGGATGAGGTGGTAGAGATCCAATAGCTCTTACTAACTTTTAGTTTTAGCTTATTAACAGCTTTTACAGCTGTGTCTACAGCTAACTGTATGTTGTGCCAGGCTACCTCAGGGGAAGTCCTGCTGTCGACCTCAGACACTCGTTTCGCTATTTCTTCCTTAAATAGGGACTCAGTGTCTCGATCTAGTTGGGGACGTAACTGTTTCGTTGCCGTCAATTTCTTATGTCCGTTTAGCCGTTAGCATAAACGTGCGCGAACCAGAGCGTGATCACAGTCTACGCACGAGCTCCAGAAGGAGCGGCAGCCTTCTACTGACCCTCGCTAACGATACCCTATCTCTATGTGGTCTATCTGAGTCCAGCAGTATGTCTCTCTTTGTGCCTAAAGTTAGTGCTGACTAGGAACAGATGATTATCTGAGCAAAACTGTAGAAGACGATCGCTGTTGTCGGTTCGTCGGCAGGGAACTCCATATGTACCACCTACATACTTCTCAGTCTGACACAACTTCCCTACTTGAGCATTGAGGTCGCCTGCTAAAACAACTATGTCTGAATGTTTTGCTTTTTGCAGCAAATTAGACAGTTTCAGGCAGAAGTCATCATTTAGTTCATAGGAACTACAGTTTGTTGGGGCGTAAGCGGAGACTACGAAAAGGCAACGATGGGTGACACCGTCCTTCCTTCTTCTAATTGATTCATTCAAACAGACCGCACACATACGACTATCTACTGGGATCCAGTCAAGAAGTGATTTTCCTGCCCTAACACTCAGTGCTATCCGTACACCTGCGAGTCCTCGTCAGCTAGCTGAGGGATCTTCTGACACTCTTAAAGTGAATTTTGCAGATTCACCTTGTTGGCCGGGTGGGGTTAAGTTAATGACCACAATCAGGTTCTGTGTGCGTGTCTCCAAAATACATCCATGGCATGGGATGCCAGAGTTCTTGTTAGTGATGCTTGTTGTCCGATTTGGCAGAGGGTCCTGATGTTGTAAGCTGCTATATGAAGTTTGCGAAGTGGCTTTAAGAGGCTGTCGGGGGTATGTCTATGGCTCTCATCGTTGTTTGTAGTCACAGGGTGAAGTGAAGATGACTCATTAGCCTAAAGAATAGGACTAACTGTAGTAGGGGAGTGAGATGATGAAGGTGATGTGAGTAGGGGAGAGTGATGCTCAGGAAGGCTTCGTGTGCTCTTGGAAGTGTGTGGGCGGTTGTTACTTCCCGGTTGACCACACCGTCGAAGTTGATTGAATCTTCGGGTACTTGAAACAGAAAGAGAATTAGTGTTGTGTGACTTCAGAGCCCAGGGTACAACTGCTTGAGGCCGGTCACATACACGGCCTGTTAAAAATGGATTTTAAGGTTTGGTTCCGTATTATTAACTTACCGCCGGTTACGGACCACCGTAGGGTAAGTCGGGATGTACAACTTTTGGGGTCGACCTTTTCTAACCCACTCTTTTCAGAGTGGAGAGACAGCATAGCTTGCATTCTGGTCATCTGAGGGAAAAACCTTACTGCGGCTGTTACATCCCTATTCCCAAGCAGTACCACCTTGTCCACAGACATCTAGCATACTGTAAAAAAATCTTACACCAAGCCGGTAACTGCTTTTAGTGTAATCGCTATCCTAACAACCTTCGTGGGATGGTAGGACCTGCAGGAACAATAGTTCCAGCCAGTGTAGCTTGTTGGGTCATTGCGATATGGAAGCCCGACCACCACGTCAAGGTAGCAGCTATCGATTGGGCAATGTAAAGCACAAATGTGGATGGGAAAGGTATTCATGTATTCATGTCTTAACAGATAAATTTGATCTGATACCTTAATGTGTTCGGCAGAAAGGTATTTAAGAAAGACATGTGATTCAATTGACTGAATTACTCAATTTTTAGCTAGTGGGTCACGAGTTTCTATTCGCACTTCATCTAGTCTGGCAACCTTCAATGTAGGGATATCTACCCTTAGCGTGATACATGAAAGAAAGAAAAGAGTAACAATGAATATACGGAGGGAATATTTCAAAGAAGGTTTACAATAACTGTTATATTGTAGTCTCATTTTATTTAGCTACTCTTAGAAACTCATTCTTCAATTTGTATTTCTCGTTATACCCTATAAAAAGTTATCATTATTTAACTGTATTATTATTATTGTTCCCTTGGGTTCCTAGTGGAATATAGGACTTCAACTACATGCCTCCACTTGCTTCTGTCTTCTGCTGTACTTTTCACCTGCATCCATGTTAATCCATAATGTTTCAGCTCCTCTTCACACGATCTCCTCCATGTCACCCTTGGACGTCTCACTCGCCACTTCCCTTTCGGGTTCCACTCGAGCACTGGCCTGACGCGCGATGTCACCCAACGGCCTCCTCAGCCAGTGTCCAATCCATCTCCACTTTCTCCTGCATATTTGTTGTTTGGCGATTGATTCTTGTTTTGTTTGTTCCCATAGTTTCTTGTTTTTTCCGGCCATCTGATCTTGAGTATAGAACGAAGACAGTTGTTGATGAAG